ACGCGGGCCAAGCTGGCGTTGCGGCTCTCGCACAGCAGGAGGGCGTCGTGCCAGCGCAGCGGCTTCTGCAGCAGCCGGAAGGTGCCATTGAGGTAGGAGAGCTCGGCGCCCGGGGCAGGGGGCGACGCTGCTGGGGATGGGCTCAGGGAGGGGTCTACAGGGAAGAGGGCAGGGCTCAGGCTGGGCTCTGCCGCCCTCGCCCCGTTCCCAGGTGGGGGTGCGGGCGGGGATACAGCCATCTGGCAGAGGCCAGGTCTCTGGAGACAGTGCTGGCCCCAGATTAAGGCTGATGAGTGTTTGCCACTCTTGTTACTAGTAAGTGGATGACCACAGCCGGAGCCTTGAGCTACCCCAACCAAGGAACCCTGGGCAGGGGAACTCCCTGGACCGACTCTAGATGCCAGGACAGGGAACCTCAGCTTCCCAACAGCGGGCCTCTCAGCACCACCTGCACCTCCATGTCTGCCAGCACCCCTCCCAGCCTTCTTCCCGAGACCCTCTGGTGCTCACTGCCTTGCCCTCTCTGGGCCCTGGCCTTTCAGCCCAGCTGCTTCCTCAGCGGATACTCAGCTCGTGATGTGATTCCTCATCTCCCTCCCTGGGTCTCATCCCCTCCTGGTACGGCCCAGTGCACCTAGCCCAGTGCCCACAGGGCTGGGGCTGCCCAGTCCACTGTGGACACGTACCTGTGCCCTTCTGGCAGATGAAGCCGTGAGTCTCCTCCGTGCAGCTCCGGTCGTCCCAGCGCCCGGTGAAGGGAGCTGAGGGGCTGTGCAGGACCACCACACAGCTGGTCTAGGGGGGAGGAGCTGCTCAGGGGCGCCCACCAGCCACCCCACCCCGTGCCACTGCTTCCAGAAGGCTACACTGTGAGCCAAGAGGCTGGAAGGGGGAGGCCCAGGGCAAACAGGCAGGGCAAGGTGAGGACGACAGAGAGGGGAGGGGACACCCTCACCGGTTTGTTGCCGCTGGGAGCTGGGCTAGGGCCCGAGGGCTCGCCAGGTGCCCAGTTGGCATACAGCAGAGGCCCCTGCTCCACCCACTGGAAGTCCCTCTGCGAGGCATGAAGGCCAATCCAAAGGTCAAAGGTCACATTGGGCAGGCTGGCTGTAATGAAGGCTACAGTCCCGAAGAAGAGTCATGAGTGACAGGGTGAACTGGCTCTCCTCCAGCCATTTCCAAGGTTGTGCCATCGGGTATTGGGGCCTTCCCATGGGCTGGCCCTACCTTGCTCTAAGGGGTTTGCAATGGTGACCAGTTGGGCCTCTTGCTGTTCACATGAGAACTGTGCCTCTGACCACTTCACTCGGTCCTGGGGGTCTTGGCCCTGGATTCGGAAACACTGCAAGGCGGAGGGGAGGTGTGACATTCAGCTTCAGCCCTGTGTGCCACCAACCAGCTACCCAGCGCAGGCCCTGGAGAGTAACAGCTGGGGACCGGGATGCCTGGGAGTACCTGGGCAAGGCTCCAACAGCGTCAGGCTGGTGTAGCAGATCCACACGCCCTCCCACGCTTTGGGGAATTTTTAAATGGGAGGCTGTCTTTGGCCAGTGAAGGCTTACTACCTATGACAACAGTGCCTGGGCCAAACACGGGGCAGATGAAAACAAGGTCTCCCTTTACTTTCTGCTAAACACCTCCCTGAGTGTTGTCTGAAATCTGCGCTCACACCCTGACCTCCTGCGCTCACACCCTGACCTCACGCAATCATCTGTGTTACTAGTTGTCAGTTACCGCTGAGTCAGTTCCCACCATGTGACTCCATGTGTGCAGAGTAGAACTGCTCCAGAGTTTTCAAGGCCATGACCTATTGGAAGCAAACTGCCAGGCCCGCCTTCCCAGGTGTTTCTGGGTGAGTTCAAACCGCCAGTCTTTTGGCATGTGGTCAAGCACTTAACCTTTTGTGCCACCTAGAAATACTCCCTTTTTGGAGAGTCTTTGTTAGACAGGAGCTGCTGACTCAGTTGTTTCGTGTTTCTCTTTTCCTACTTTCAATACTTGTGGAAGATCAAAGGAACCCTGGATGGGAAATCTTTGGTCAGGAGAAGATTCTTTCTTAGAAAATGAATCGTTTCTTGTGATTCCTGCTCAGAGGCAGTGTGATGGGGGAGAAAGCAGATACGTACATTTTAGTCTCAAAGATACTGGAGGTTGGGGGGGGAGGTCTCAGATCTCAGTTATGACTTAACTTTTCTGGCCTGAGCTTTCGGTTCTGTAAAACTGGAGTAAAAACCTATCTTTTGGAATAATTTTAAAGATAAGAGTACATGATACAGACAAGGTGCTTACAAGTGAGAGATATGATGACTAATGACCAAATTTAGAACGAGCTGTACTGATGCAGAAGTGACTGTGAGCTGAAAATGGTAAACCTCAAAATAAGGTTTTTGGAGGCTTGTCACAAAGTTCACGCGTTTGATTTCACAGAAGTAGTTCAGAGCCACTCTGAGGCTCCATTTAAATAACTGATAACGTTAATCATAAAATTAAGTGCAGCGACATCTCGCCAGCATCAGCAGGAAGTAACGGCCTGAGGGAGAGTATTCAGTTGAACCCAGCCAACCCTCCGGGGTCCCTACCATGTGCAAGTGGACCCGGTGGTATGTCAAGCACCAGGAGCCCTGTCCTCCAGGAGCTTAAAGCTCGTGGGAGAGGCAGGCCCGTAAACACTTTGCTGCTGTTATTGGCTGTCAGCCAGTCGGCAACCAACCCGTCGCGACCCCAAGCCCAACAGAGTAAAACGCTGCCTGGTCCTGAGCCATCCCCATGATCAGTTGTGGATCCGACATTGTGATCCATGGGGTTTTCACTGGTTGATTCCTGGAGTAGATCACAAGGTCTTCCTAGTCCATCCTAGTCTGGAAACTCCACTGAAACCTGTTCAACATCTTCGCAACATGCAGGCCTCCACTGACGGATGGTGGCTGCACGTGAGACGTAATGACCGGAAATCAAACCCAGGTTCCCCACATGGAAGGCAAGAATTCTACCAGTGAACCATCACCCTACATTCAAATGCTGTGTGGGGATGCAAAGGAAGGCAGAGAATTAACAGAGCAAGGTGTCTGGGGCCAGTAAGGGAGGGCAAACGGCTTTGCATACTTCACTCAAAAGCCTCAGAGGCTTTAAACCTTCAACCAAAATTAGCCCCTACAGTCTTCTTAAGGCACTCTGGTGGTGTAGTGCCTTAGGCATTTGACTGCTAACCAGAAGGTTGGCAGTTCAAACCCACCAACCACTCTGCAGAAGGAGCATTAGACAATCTACTTCTGTAAAGGTTTACCGCCTTGGAAACCCACAGGGAGTCACTGTGAGTTGGAACCGACTCGGTGGCAGTGAAGTTTGGTTTTGGTTGATAGTCTTCTTAAACAATAGTTTAGCTTGACCGGTAATAAACGTCCGCCTTGAGCTTTGTGGTCTTTTAAAAACCTGCTGCACAGGGTCAAACTGACAGCAGCAACTCAGAAGGTGAGACAGGGAATGGGGTGCAGTGAGTCTATGCTAATGAGGGAGAAGAACTGGAACAAGGGGCAAGGATGGTCGCACAACTGGAAGAACAGGATCAATGTCACTGAATTGTAGAGGGAGAACCACTGCATGTTCTGCTGTGTGTATTCTCAACAACAGAAAACAAATTATTAAAAAACAGGGCAGGAGAGTAGGCAGCACCACTGCAGTAACTCTGAGGCATTTAAAGAAGGGATCAATTATGTCGATAAAATATATCCTGTTTATTCAGTTTAATAATTAGATGAAAGAAGTCATGAGAAAAAGATTTTGGAAAAAGCATAATGACAAGAGAAAATGCTCAAAATATAATACTGAGGAAGAAAAGCTGGGTATGAAATTGCATTATTGAATATGATCTCAATTATGTAGGAAAAAGATGAAGAGTAATAAATACTGATTGTGGGGCTCTCTGGAGACGGTGGGTGAGTTTTATTTTCTTTTGTTTTTTTCTAAAGATTTAATAATACACATGCCTTGCTTTTCTTTCTTTCTTTTAGATAAAAGAGGTTATAATTACATCCTCTTGACTTTTCTAAAGAAGTGAAGGAGTTCCGTGACAGTAAGAGGCTTCACTCCAGTGTATTAGGGGGATTATGGATTATATTATCTAGCATGAATTAATTTAGTTCTTACAATAGGGATAAACTTGGTGCTGATTCCAACTCATATAGACCCTGTAGAACAGAGAACTGTCCCATAGGGTTTCCAAGGCTGTAATCTTTATAGAAGCGGACTACCACATCTTTCTCCCACAGAGTGAGTGGTGGGTTCAAACTGAAGACTTTCCAGTTCATTGCTGAGCACTTTAACCACAGCAACACAAACTAGGAAATGGTGAGATGACCCTTTTATCCCTGGAGCGAGCTCTTTGTCAGCCGCTGTTACTGTGTTGTTAGGTGCTGTCGAGTTAATTCTGACTCATAGCGACCCTGTGTCACAGAGCAGAACCGCCTCATTGGGTTTTCTTGGCCGTCATCTCTAGAGAAGCGATCACCATGCCTTTCTCCTGCAGAGCCGCTGGGTGAGTTCAAACCATCACTTTGTACCAGCCCAGCACTTAGGCCACCAGGGCTCCCTCTGTCAGCTGCTCAGTGAAAACAATGAAGCTCTAACCACATCTGATAGGAAGTCAGCCCGTGGGTGGGTAAGTAGCTGCTTTTATAAAGGAACTCACACTATGGAGAGAACATTTTGAAAACAAGTTTAGAAATACAGCCATTCTGGCGGATTTTACTTCCCCAGACTTCCCTATCTACACACTCAATATACCTAGGAAGAGAATTTTCTAAATATATGAATTAAAAAATAAAATAGTGTTTTTTAATCCCACTTGATACAAATATAAAAATGCAGCTCTTCTGACTAGTTCTTGAGGCATATGGAAGACAAATTTACTAGCCAAGTTTGTGACATAAACCTCTGCTTTGGGGTGAATCGTGTGGTGTATGAATTACATCTCAATAAAGCTGCCTTTTAAAAAGCACAAATCTTTGTTTAACTGGACTGAAAAATGGGTAGAACGACTCAGGAAGTCCAGTGCTGGATGAACTTTTCCATGGAATTCTATCTGTCTGTCTGAGGTGTCTTTTTAAGCTACACCCACCCATTTATGTTCTGATATCATCTTAACTTCAGACAAGACTTTTGAGTCCCTGAAATGCAGTGCATCAGACCAAGATGGTGAAAAACAACCAAGTGTATGCTTCTGTTAGTATTTCAATTTAATAATTATTATATTTGGCACTTTTAGAATGAGCACAACAAGATTTTTTTCATGCCATTAATAACAGAAAACATGGTTAACTTAGTTAATCTTTAGCTCACCCTCTATGCCATTCAAAAAGCTCTGGTGGCACAGTGGCTAAGGCATCTGGCTGCTAACCAGAAAGTCGGCGGTTCAAATCCACCAGCTGCTCTTGGGAAGAAGATGAGGCAATCTATTTCCATAAAGATTTACAGCCTTGGAAACTCTATGGGGGTTGATTCTGTTCTTGTGTATAAGGCGTAGTGCCTAAGGCATCTGACTGCTAACCAGAAGGTTGGAAGGAAGATGGGGCAATCTACTGCTATAGAGACTTACCACCTCAGAAACCTAATGGGGGTCACTGTGAGCTGGAATCGACTCAACGGCAGGGAGCTTGGGGTTTTTTAGAGCAGTACTTAGATTAGAGTAGAATACATTAAAATGTAACATGTACACACATGTACTTTGAATCTGCATGCTCCAGTTTGTTTTACTAATAATTCCTGATCAAAACTGGATCTAGATCTGATCTAGAAAACTCACCTATCTGGAAGACTTCACTTCCTGGTGGATTAGAAGATGCTGAGGTTGGTGGGGACATGAAAGAGGCATACGCTGACATTGCCAAAGGGCCAGGACTCCTAAGGCTTGGCCTTCCTCTGTTCATCCCTTCTCCCCTGACTCCCTTGGGTGCCCCTTCCCACCTCCTACCTTGTTGAGGAACTGGTTCCAGCCGGAGGGGCAGCCCCCCAGGGCTGTGGGTGGCAGCTCAGGGGGCTGTGTCTCTCTGGTGCGGTTGCTGCGCTTGCAGATATAGGGCAAGGCTGTCAGACACCTCTGGTCCCCCCAATCCTCTGCAGAGACAGAAGGGGAGGGTAGTCAGGGCAGGACAGGTATGGCCTGTCGCAGCCGCCTGTCCGACACCTCTGGTCCCCCCAGTCCTCTGCAGAGACGGAAGGGGAGGGTAGTCAGGGCAGGACAGGCTGGAGACTGGAGACTGGGCTGGGGCTCTGGCCCCTTTTGTTCAGCTCTGAACTCAAGTCTTCTGTGGTTGTGGGCCCAGCAGAGCAGGGCTCCTCTGTGGGTCTAGCCTCGCAGTCCCTGCTAGGCTTGGCTTACTGCCTGCACCATGGACCCTCCCTCGGCTGACTGCCCTTTCCACCTTGTCCTTACCTCGGCTGGCTGTCAGGTACACACACTTCTTGTCCTTGCCGATGGGTCGGGGTTTGCCAGGTGCCCAGGAGATGAAGTTGATAACGGAACCATCTGTCCACCTGCAATGGCACCAAGCAGGGATGGCTCTAGCACTGGTGAGGGGCTTGGCCTCCCCGTCTGCAGCAATGAAGGCCGTGAGAAAGGGGCAGAGAAGAGTCACAGGCTGAGGACAGAGACTACCGGGCTTAGTGCGGGTATGAGCCCAAGGACCTGGCACCTCCAGGTTAGACCCCAGCCCTGCCTGAGCCCTCATGTCTTTAACTAGAAAAGAAGATGGAGGCTCCCCAAGCAGGGTTCCAAGGACCAAGATGTGCCCCTCCTGTGTCTAGGCCCTGAAGACAGGCCTCCCTGGAGCATCACCTGTGCCTGCCCACATCTTGAGCCACCTGGCTGAAGATGAGTGATCTCAGACATAACACGGGCTGACATGGTGAGTGCCAGACACTGCACGGAGGACCTCATACAGTTTCTAATCTCACTACCAGGCAGACAGCATTGTTCTCATTCTCAGAGGACCACACTGAGGCTCAGAAAGGCTAAGTCACATGCTCCAGGTCAGAGCCCGGCCAGGGGCAGAGCTGGATGCAAGCCAGTGTCTACCATCTCTCTCTGCCCTGCCCAGGGTGGCAGGGGATCATCAGCACACGTGCCTCCTCTCACACCCGCTGCCTGCTGGGGTCCTACCTGAAGCGCCCATTGCTTTCCAAGGTGTGCAGGCCAATCCACCAGTGCTGCTCTTGGTTCCGGGAGAACTGGAGAAGCCAGCAGGCAGGTCAGAGTTGGCAGAGCCTCCCTGAGGCCTCCTCCCGGGCCTGGCCTACCCCGACACCGCAGGCTCGGCCTCACTGGCACACGCACCTTCTGTAGGTTGTGGCCCAGGAAGTCCAGCTCTGCCTGGCTGTGCACGGAGGCCAGCTCGGCCTGGAACCATGTGCAGATGCGTTGCGCCTGGGCCCACGTGGAGTGATGCTCAAAGAACTTGTACTCTGCCTCCTGGAAGCGCAGCCACTCCCGCCGGCCTGGGGAGCAGAAGAGGTGCAGATGGGCAGTGGTCCTGGGGCCGTGCCAGAGGACTAGCCAGGGTAGGGCCAGGACAAGCCAGAGACAGGCCTGCAAGCAGGACCCAGGCAGCAACAGTAGGAGGCTTGGGGCCCAGGGCCTGCCTTCCTTCCAGCTGGAGGCAGACAAGGCGGAGGGTGTCCTGTTCGGAGCCAACTCAATCCCCTTCTCTAGGTCAGAACCCTTAGCTCCTCTGCCTCGGGAGGTGACGTCCCCTCCCTCTCTGGGCCGCAGTGTATGTAGGGGCAGGCAAGGGGCCTCTCACCTTGAGGGCTCACATCAGGCTCCCGCACTTCCGTGCCTGCGGGAACAACGTGGACAGAGATGCTGCAGGGCAATGGTGATTGCCCCCTGGACAGCTGCCCCTCCGGCCTCGCCTGTCCCCTCGCCGAGCACCCCGCTCCCTTCACCTCTGGGAATCTTGCAGATCCAGTCCAGCGGCGTCTCGCACTGCATGGCCACCCACTGCAGGGAGGCCAGGTCGAGCACCGCACAGCTCCGGATGTCGTCGTCGTCGTGCCGGCTCCGGTCGAAATTGTGGTAAGAGAACTGGGGATATGTGCAAGGGGGATAGAAGGGTGTCTGAGGCACATGCCAGTCCCTAGAATAGGCGAGCTAGAGGTCCAGCCTGAACTGGCAAGCCCCAAATGGGCCTAGGGGTCCACCTATCTCTTGCCCCCCAGCCCGCTGTTCTTTTACCTGCCAGCTGGAGCCAGAGACCCCGCCCCCACCAGACCCAGCCCCTTCCACACAAGCCCCGCCCACCCCAGGCCTGCTTACTCCCAGCCCATCGCTCCAGCGCCAGCTCTGCCCGCCTCCGGGGTCGCGACGGTTCAGCCCCATCCAGAACCAGTGCTGCTCGTGGATCTCGGGCTCTGATTCACTTCAACAACGGGGGAAGGGGCAGCAGGGTGGGAAGAACGGATGAGAATGAGAGGAGCAGGGTTCCAACCCGCCTCCTGCCCCTCGTAACTGTGATGCGCGCAGCCCCCAGGTCCCAGGCCTCTGCGTCTGTGCTTCACACTCGGAGCAGTACACTCTTGGACACACTTTAAAAGGAGACACCCAGAGAGAATGGGGAAGCGTTGGACTGGGCACCAGGCTCAAGCAGTGGCAGGCAGCCTCTGGTTTCCTTGGTAAGATGCCTTCCTTGGGTGAAAGATACCTCCTTACTGGCAAGACCCTGCCGGCTTTTACTTTAAGGAGTTTAGGAAGTTGATCCAGGCGCAGACCCGGAGCTCTGGAGGCAGATAAACCTGGAGTCAAGTCCTGGTTCACCCCCGGACCGGCTCTGTGACTTTGGGCAAATAAAGGACCTCTGTCAAAGAGGGTCACTAATAATACCTGGTGGGTTCAAACTGCACCGAGCACTTAACCACTGCACCACTAGGGCTCCTTTGCTGGGAGGAGATAGCCCTGGAACTCAGATCTCAAGAAGCCTAGGTCCCTTTGGGTTTGCCCCAGTGCCGAGGGCATGAAGGTGCCATGTACCACGGGATACCCTGGCCCCACCAGGCAGAGATGGGACCCAAGAGGTCCCCCAGGAGCAAACACACATGTAAGCCTTGCTCCTCCTGTCCGGGGAAAAGAAACCGTTTACTGAGTGTGGGTCACTATGGGATGATGGAGGGCATGGGGAAAACGCTGAACCTGGAGGAGATGGTGGAAGACTTTGCACCAGGGAAGGACGGGTAGGGAGGGGGCTAACTTATGAAAAAACCTGTGAATCTGGAGGGGGGATGTTGCTGGGGAGCAACTGGGCGTCTCCGAAGACCCACGTGCATCCCAAGACCGCAGGGAAACACGATGGCTACCTGAGGGAGGGTGGGATGGGCCTGGCCCTAGAAACAGATGCACAGGCCGTTCCAAGTCCACAGGCCTGCCTCATGAGCGTGGCCTTCATGCTGCCCCCATGCTGTTCCCAGCAGACCAGCAGCCTGCCGGCTGTGCCTGCTCCCACACCCATACACGCAGACCCACTCACAACTGCACACACAGGCACCCCATCCCCACAGCGTTACAGGCTCAGTACCCGAAGATTTTGTTGAGCATGTTGGCCACAAAGTGCTCCTCCTCATAGTTGGCCAGGCTGAGCAGCTGGGCCCCCAGTTCCTGGCAGGCCCCCTGGGCCTGGACCCAGCTCCTCTTGTCCTGCAGCCGGTCTGAGCTGAATACCTGCATGGGCACAGTGCAGTTGTCCCATCCGCGCCCACTGGCCCAGCTCCCCGGGAGGTACCTGCTGCCCAGCCCATGACAGCAGGAGGGGACTGGGCGTCACTGGCTAGGGGACTCAGGTTAGCTGAGGACAATGGTGCCTATCAGGGAAATAGTCCCAGGGACCAGCCTCTGCCCCACCCCCTAACCATGAGGACATCCGGGCTCTGATCCCAACATAGCCACAACCTGCTGTGGACAAGTCCCTTCCCCTCCCTGGGTTCAGGTCTTTCATGTAATACAGGATCCTGGACCACATCGATGGCTCTCAGACCTGGCTGTGCAGAGGTTAAAAATTCAGATTACCAGGCTCTCCTGTGACCTCCAGAACCAAAATCCTAGATCATATTGCATCAACCTCCCCCATGAGATTCTGCAGGACAGCCAGCCTGGCCCCAACGTGATGCAGAAAATCTCTTGGGTCCCTTCAATTCCTCAGATGGTTACTGAGCATCTATTCTGTGCCAGGCCATGTCATCCAGTCTCCACTGGCGAAGAGTTTCACCAGAGAGCCACTCTGTCTGCAGTCTGGTGTGGGGAAAGGTAGCTGGTGCCCACTAGGACCCTTCCAGGTGGGCTGCCTCTCTGCACTTCCTCCCCCAGCTCCCCACACCAAAAGGCTGCCCTACCTTATAGCAGTGCCTGAGTTTGGGGTCTGAGGCCCAGCTCTGGGGACAGGCGCTGGTGAGGCTGGGCGTGGGGTCTGGTCCAGGCAGCTCTGGCGTCACTGGTGTGCCCAGGCTCTGCCGGCATATGTAGCGAGCCCGGAACGTGGTGCAGTTCTTCACCTCCCACAGCCCCATGGCGCTGCCTGTGGCCAGGGCCACACAGCCCCCACGGCTGTACCCTGAAGGAGGAAGAAGGGAGGCCCAACAAGTTGTTGGAGAGGGGCCCTCACGGTCTGGTCTTCCCTCATAGCCCCATGGGGCACTGCCAAGGATCTGGCATTGGGAACCTTGTTGGCCATCTTGGCAGGGGCATACTTTGGGGGGTCTGGGCTCAGGCACAAGGAGGGGAAATGGAGACAGAGGGATAAGGTTTGAGTCCTAGCGCTATGCTTACTCACTATGTGATCTTAGGCAAGTTGCTTAACCTCTCTGAGCCTGGTTCATCATCTGCCTTATCGAAAGGGTTGAAAAAGATAATGAGTGGGACATAATGATAATAATAATAGCACTTATATTACTGTTGTTAGGTGTCTTCCAGTCACAGCAACGCTATGCGACAAAGTAAGAACTGCCCTATGGGGTTTTCTTGGATGTAATCTTTACTGGAGTAGATAGTCATGTCCTTCTCCTATGGAGCCACTGGGTTGGTTCGAATCAGTGACCTTTCAGTTAGCAGTCAAGCACTTAACCAGTACATCACCAGGCTCCTAGCACTGGTACAGTGTTCACTATTCTAAGCACTTCACCGACATTAACCCATTTGAGTCTTGGGGTAGCTAAGGTTCTATGTCACCTTGGCTGGGCCTGGCTGACAGGCTGGGCAGCTGGATGTAGTAAGTCCCCACTGTGAGACTTGTAATCAACTCCATGGTGGAATCCACTGGAGCAGCTGAGTAGCTGCTCCAGGGATATGGGCTGCTTCCAGTGCATAAGAAGCAACTCTGAGGGAGGTCTCCAGCTGATGGCACACTTGAACCCTGCATGTAGCCGAGTTGTTCAGCAGCCTGCCATGCCCTATCGATCTTGGGACTTTTTCTGGACTTGAGTTAGTGGTCTGCTGTGTTGTTTGGTAATACTGGGACTGAGCCTTTTTACTTGTCAACCTTGAGTCTGTCAGCTTCAGCAGCTACCAGCTGCCTGAGTGAAGAAAAGCCTCTAACTTCAGTGGGCTGGGAGCAGGAGGCAGAGCTGAAGCCCAAGGTTGAGCGGCTTTCACCCAGCCCCTAGTGCCTGGCACTTTAAACTCAGGACTTCCAGCTTCTGAAACTGTAAGAGAATAAACTCCTGTTTGTTAAAGCCATTCCACTTGTGGTATTTCGTGAGAGTGGCACTAGGTAATCAGAACCATATTGACTCTGAGGAAGGTACCCATCTTCTCACTTGACGGATGAGGAGACTGAAGGCTCAAAGGATACGTAGCTAGTAAACAGCAGAGTTGGGCTCTAAACCCGCAGTTTCACTCTAAAGCCTGTGTGTACACGACCTCCCAAAAATCATCAATTGGCTGTAAAGCCTTGGGTCCTGGTTCGGGTCTGGCAGGTCCACCCCCAGCCTCCCGGCATCGCCAAAGAAAGTCAGTGGGAGCTGACTGAGCTCTGCGGCGGATGCTCACCAGGCTGGTCCCGGTTCCAGTGGGTGTACGTGACCTCGTCCCCACTGAGCCAGTGGAAGGAGCCAGTGCCGTTGAGGTCCTGCAGGGCCGTCCAGAAGTACTCACCCTCCCAGTTGTAAATGAGGCTGCTGACGAAGGCCTGCTCAAACCTGCGGGAAGGCTGGTTAAGGCTAGGGGCTCGCCCCACCCCTCCCTACGCCAGTTGTGTTCTCAGTAGGCCAGGTGCCCTGCCCCGGGAGCTTGAGTGCTGTGCCTGGCCGGTAACCTGTTCGGGGCAACATAGAGCCCTGGGGGCCCTGCAGCTGATTCACATGGCAGCCTAAGTCTTCTGGTGAGAAGAGAACCTGCCTTGCCTTTCTTGGGTATCCAGCCCCCACCTATACCTGCCTCTATCCAGGCCCCGCCCCGCACTGGGATGCTTGATGACAGTATTACAGAGAAGCCCTGCAATCAGCTGCAGCTCAGAGGACTCCAGGTCCCTCTGAGCAGGAAGGCAGGATGTTACCCCTTTTGGTGTAGGGGCTACATTAGGCCAGGACATGGACATAGCTGGCCAAGACTGCAGCCCCTGCTGGTACCTGTTGGTGATGGTGACCAGCTGGGAGCTGTGGTCAGTGCACAGGTGCCGGGCCTCACTGTAGGTCACTTGGTCCTCTCCCAGCCAGTAGCAAGATGGGCTGTGCCATGTCCAACCCTGGCTCGAGAGAGTAGGAAGAGGAAGGGCATCTGAGGATGGCCTATCCTCCCTCACCCAAACATCTGGGGCTGGAGAAGGCACTCAGTGGCATCACTGAATGTACCACAGGCTTGGACACAGGACAGAGGGATACTGGTGCTGACCCCATAGACAGTAGTTCTTGATGCTGTACTTGGTCATTCCCTACACTCCACCTCCTCACCTCCATCCACAATCCACCAGCCCAGGGCACGAAGCATGGCCCAAGGGTGGCTGCTGTGATCGGGGTTGGTGACTGACTAGGCTCAGAAAGATGAGTGGCCCATCAGATTCCTTTCTTGGGCATTTAAACCAAGAGATGCCGTGGGGAGATTGTCGGCTGGCTGGGGAACCAGAGCTAGAAAGCTGGGGTGAGTGGCATAATCTTCAGGGGCCCAGGAAAGTAACCCTCAGGAGAGGGTACAGAGCAGAGACCACCACAGGCACAGGGTGGGCTTGAGAGCTGGCTTGCCCACAAGGCCCAGTGGGGTTGTACCCCACACAGCCCTTCCCTGAGAGGTTCTTTGCTCCCAGACACCAAGAACCCCACCTTATAGAGGAGGAACTGAGGGTCTGAGAATCCAAGTGACCTGCCCACGGTCACAAAGACAGTACAGGTGAATCCTGAACCTGCACCCAGGCTGCTCCTGAGGCAAGGCCAGACACTTCATCTCAGGAGGTCCTGGGAGTGGGCCTGGCAGCCCAAGACGAGGCTGGAAGTTGAGGGAGAAAGAGAGACACAGCCCCCCAACAGGAGTCGGGGCAGAAGCAGCAGGCATGCATGTGCTGAGGGAGGCACCATACGCCCAGCAGGGGCTCTGCTAAGCTCCCTGTCTCTCCTGGTGTGGGGCAGTAGACTCCTGCCTCACCACATCCCCAGGACCCACAGCCTCTGGGCTAGTCCCCAACCGTGCAAACATGCTAGCGCCCGAGACGTCTCAGAAAGGTCCTGCTGGCTCTCTCCTTCTTCCCTCACTGGGGGTCACATCTGTTGGCATTTCCGGCCCCTCCCCCGGCAGGGATTGGGGTATGGGTGGGGTGGGGTGCGGTGTGGTAGGGGACTTAATTCCAAAGGAAAACAAATGAAGAGGCTGCCTGGCAATGAGGGACCAGCAGGAGGAGCCATGAGGCGCCAAAACACCACAAAGTGTCCTTTCTGAGCTCCCCCCCCTTACACATCCACACCCTTGCTTGGCTGGGGGCCCAGGAAGGGGGACCCTGGAAGGGCTGCAGGAGGAAAATCGGCCCCTTGCTCCCACACTCACGCCCTCACTCATACACTCAGTGCCCTGTGTTTATTCCCTCATTCCTTTCCAAATTCCCTCCTCATCCTGGAACCCCCTGGGGCTAGAAGCAAAAGGAGGCAAAGACACACCCCCACCCAGAACTGCCTCTCTTTCTCCCAGAGACAGGTAACACACACTGTAACAGATGGCGTGGTGTGCCTCGAAAGACAGAGATGGGACAGCAGACAGGGTGTTCAGACAGCATGGGCTCCCACTTAGCAGCCTTGGCGCATAATGACTGGGCAGGACTCAGGGGGCCACCTGCACCCACCTCCTTGCTCTCTGCTGCCTCTGGGAAGTGGCTTCCCTGGGGAGAGGAGGCTCAGGGCTGGAGGTAGGGAGCTCTGCTTCCTCTCAACAGCCCCCCACCCCTACCCCACATCTCTCCTTCAGGAACAGAGCCTGAGGCCAGAAGACGCTCCAGAAACACCCTCACCTTCCGGCAGCCATGATCCTCCTCAGCGGCGCCCTGGCTCAGCTGACCTGCCTTCTTGCAGATGGACGGCAAGGACTGGTTACAGGGACTGTCATTCCAGCGACCCTCCTAGGGACACAAGGTTGGGAAGTCTCAGGCCCTCCCCATCCCCAAATCTCCCAAGCCCTCAGTGAACTTGGTCTCTAGGGCTGGGCTGGCCGGTGACTTGCTGTGTGATTCTGAGTTTGTGTCCCAGACAGGGGGATTGCAGACAGCCTGTTAGTCTGTAAGCCCCACAGGGTGGAAGAGAACACGGATGAACTAATGATGTGCAAACCCTGAAACTTTGACAGGCATTGTAAAAGTTGTCCAAATTGCCTTTCAAATGTGTTATATAGCTCAGTATCAAGGACAGACTGGCTAACAGTGTTAGTAACCCATGGCAGGACTGTCAGATGGGATGCCCAGTTTGGAAGGTGTCCAGTTAGTACTTGTACACCTAGGGGCTGAGCCCTAAATACCCGGAACCGAACCTATGAAGCTGAAGAGGGATTCAGTCTCGGCCCCTAATCCACCTCAGTCCTCCTCAAAGTCCAGTCTCCTAGCCACCAGTTTGCTGCCTTTAAGCTCCACCCCGAGGGCCAAACCAAACCAAACCAAACTCACTGCCGTCGAGGTGGATCCTGCTCATAGCGACCCCTCCTTGGGTTTCAACTGCCGGCCTTCACCCTGAAGGTGGAGGTGTCTACATCCCCAGGACCAAAGAGAATGCCTGGTGCATCGCAGGCAATCAATACGTGTTTTCAATTTTTTAATAGTATCCCTTTGATGGATTGAATTTTGTGCCCCCCAAACTAAGTGTTGTAAATCCTAAATCCTGTAAGTGTACGAAGGAGCTCTGGTGACGTCGTGGGTACGGCATTTGGCTGCTAACCAGAAGGTCAGCAGTTCAAACCTACCAGCCCCTCCATGAAAGAAGATGGGGCGTGAGTGTGGTTTTTGGTTGATACATGTGGGAATGATGTAAAAAGGAGCAGCTTGGGGCAGCAGCAGTCAGGAATGGGGGATGCCATGAGGAGATCTTCAAGGAAGGCGGAGAAGAAAGAACTTTCTCCACATTGGGCAGGCGAGATCCCTCCCCTGGAGCCAGTATCCTGACTGCAGACTTCTAACTTCCTGAACTATGAGAAAATGAGTTCTGCTAAAGAAAGCCGCCCACCTGCGGTATTTCTGCTAGAGCACTATTAGGAAACTAACACAATCCCCTAAGCCGGGTGGCCCTGTCGCCACAAGCCCTGACGTTTGTGGTATCTGAGCGCTGAACGTCTTATCTGTCCTTGAGATGGAGATCTGTCCCTTTGGTTTTTTCCCACTTTTTAAAGGGTCTCCTAACTCTGCAGGAAGCCCTGTGTCAGTCCTTCATCTACTCACACTGCATTTGAGCCAAAATTGTGACCAACAGTCATGACCCCACGATTTCTTAAGAAGACGGGACCCTGAGCTGGGTGGATGTCTGGGGCTAGGGGCTAGCAGAAGAGCTGAATATCCACCAATAGTGTGTGTTCCGATGCCACCTGCCGGCGAGGAGCAGCAGCTGGCAGAATACCAAGAGTGTGCCGGGCAGCGTCCTCAGGCTTTGTGAGAATTAACTCCTTTAATCCTCCCAACAACCCTGAAAGGTCAGTACCATTAGTGTTCCACTGAGGCACAGAAAGGGTAAGTAACTTGCCTAAGGTGACCAGCTAGTTGGGGGTGAAGGAGGGACTCAATTCCAGGCAATCTCTCCCTGTGGAAGGGAAGGGAGTAGTGGGGAAGTGGGCTGCTGAGAGAATAATGGAGGGGGGCTATTAAAGACAAGACACTGATCTAGGCTAGAGGAGGAGGGGGTTATGGGTTGCCACTAAGCCATGTCCTTCAGCCAGGGGAGCACCAGGAGGGTGGGGTGAGGGAGAGGGAAGTCTCACCGGTCCCCAGATAGTGACACAGTCCTCCAAGCTGTCCCGGAAGTTGTTGGGCTCAAAGGGGTGCCAGTGCGTAAAGCTCACCAGGCTCCCGTCAGACCACTCAAAATTCATCTGCAGTTTCAAATCGTTGAGGCCGATCCATAGCTCCTCCACCTCTGGAGGTGTGGGGTGGGGGGAGAGGGGTTGGGGTGGGGAAAGAGCAACAGCCAGGGGGTGAGCTTCTGCCAACAGCAGAGGAGGGAGGAAGAGCCCCCGGGCCCCTGGCCTCAGCCCAGGCGCGCGCACGGGCAGCCCCTCACCCTGTTTGATCTGCTGGGTGATGAACTCCAGCTCGGCCATGCTGTGAATGCTGAGCAGGTCGCCGCCGCCCCGGAGACACGCCTTCTTGGACTCCTGCCAACTGCGCTTCTCTGCCTGCAGGCGGTAGCAGTGGCCCTGGAAGGGCTGCCAGCTCGGCTCGCACTCCACCTTCACGTTGGCCCACGCGTCTGCGGAGACCCGCCAGGCGGCTGCTCAGGGGCGCGGCCACCCAGCCCCGCACCCACCTACTGGTGTCCACACAGGACAGGGCCCTCCAGACACCTCCTTCAGAACCTATCCCAGAGCAGCCCTCCCCGCCAGGGCAGGCCTCAGGGATGCTGAAAAAAATGATAAACCCCTCCAGGGCTGCCGAAAGGAGCCTTGGGATTGAACCCAAACAGCTACGAGGGAGAAAGCCCTGACAGTGTAGTTCCGAAAAGACTGCAGCCAAGAAGGGGCAGCTGTAGTCCAACACAGGGATCGCCTAAACTCTGATGGGGCAGTCTACTGCCGTAGTGATATCGCCTCAGAAACCCAAGGAGGGGTTGCTATGAGTCGGGTCCGACCTGAGGGCACATAACAACTGTGGGTCACAACAGGGCTGCTGGAGGCCCAGGAGGTGGTAGGAAATTCCACTGGAGACAGGACAGACCCCGTGACTCAGATTCTCAGAATGAGATGGGTCTGGCATCCGACAGTCCATCCCCCCATCCTGACACTGAGTGCCTTGGCAAAAGCTGTTTACTTCTGCCAAACCCAAGCGAGGACTTGCTCGCCTCAGCGCCCCGACTCCTTTCCCTATGCCTCGAGAGCCTGACTTTCCTATCAATAGCTTTCCTGTTGCAAGATTCAAATTCAGCTGACCATGTAGCTCAATAAATGGAATCACTATTAACTCAAGTAACTTTTATTAATTGTGGGCTCTGTGTGGCCCTGGGAGTCCTGGTTGAGGGAATGGGCCGGCAGCGCCTTGAGACACTAAAGCGGGCCATCTTGACCCTAAGGGAAGCATAGGGGTGGGGACGGGTGAGTCATCTCTTCTCCCATCCAGGATTCCTCTCCTTATTTCCTCCTGGGCCCCCAATTCCTCTCCCTGCACCCCAAGGCTGAGAAACTAACCGGCCAGGCCCTTCTTAGCCCGTTTCCATGCATTTCCTGTTTGCCCTGTGGCTGGGAGCTCTAGGAAAGAGGGTCCCAGAAAAGCTGAGGCAAACAAGCCCTCACTTGGGCTTTGGCAAGAGAATACAGCCCTTCACCATGCCACCCACAATGTCAGGCTCGGGCAGGACTCTGCTGGCCGGGAGGGAGAGCGTGTGCCCACTCGAAGCAGAGCCCAGACTGGAGATTCCGGAATCCACTCCTTTCTGGGACTGCTCCAAGGGCCATGCGGACCGTTTCCTAGAGACCTGCAAAGTGGGTGGGGCTGAGAGCCTGAGCGGGATCAGCTCCTAGGCTCAGGAGCTGTCAATCATCCCTACTTAGCCAGTGAGCTAAAGCTCGAGGCTGTCCGAGGACAACTGCGGTGTTCCGACCCGAGGGGGCTGCTTTGGGCGCTCGGAGGAAGGGAGGTCAGGCAATGCCGACCCCTTCGGGGCCCGAAAGCACCAGCCTTCGAAAATGACTGGACTTGAGTGATGAGGTCCAGATGGCAGAAGCCGCCCCAACAACCGCCCGGAGACTGTGCCTCACGCACGAGTTGGTGTGCTGGGGGCGGAAACCCCGGGCCACAGCCTAGCAGCTGTATCTGCAATTCCCGCGGGAGCCGCACTGGCGGGGTCAGGGCACTCGGTGAGGGGCCAGTACCACCGGGGGCCACAGCACCAGCCAGGCAGGCCCACACCCAGGCCCCCTCTGTGGGCCCACCTTCCTTTAGAAGGCAGCTTCTGTAAAGATCTGGGATTGGTGCTGGCTCCAGCCCCCGCCCGCCCTCTAGAGGTGACACGCTCCAGATGTGAGCCGTTGATCCTGACCTCCTAGGCGACTGGGGAAGTGACTGGCTGTCCTGAGTCAACCTCTGGCAAGACTTTCATGGTCTGTAGTGTAAATTTTGCTCTATGCCTTCTTTACTTTCTACGGGTTTATGGACACCACCAACCCCACCCCACCCCAAACCCCTGCCTCGTTTTGCTGTGGGAGCTCTGGCTGACTGCTAACCAGAAGGCTGGCAGTTCAAACCCACCAGCCACTCCTTGGAAGGAAGGCTGAGCAATCTACTTCCATAGTAATACTGCCTCGGAAACCCCAAGGAGGGGTCGCTATGAGTGGTATCCAACTCGACTGCAGTAAGTTTGGTTTGGTTTTGCTGTATTTCTTTTGTAAAAACCCCCTCTTCACTATCCCCACAGCCACCCAGAATACTGCAGTATCCTCTAATCTACCTGATTAACACCCACCATCATCCACTGAGAGCCCCTTTGGGCTAGGCCAAGCCTCCAGCTTCACACCAGGGGATGGGCAGGCAAGTCCTCTGCGTCTCGGAAACTGAGCTGCCTGCCCAGGCCCACACACTGGGAAGCGGTAGGGTAAGGAGTAGAATCCGAGTATCTCCTGGCCCTCAAAGCAGTGGCCTGCTCATGGCACCACACCCCTCCATGTGGCCCCTAGAGCGATCTCCATGAATCACTAATGTGAGCAAGACACTCCCTGGCCTAGAAGCCTGCAAAGACGCCCCCAGCCTACCTGGCAGCTCAAACCTCACCCGGCAGCCTTCAAGGACTGGCTGGTCCTGCCTCATCTCTTCACCCTGCTCTCTAAGCCAGCACTTCTCACACTGTAGGTGAACACGAGTCACCTGAGGATCCTGTTCAATGCAGGGCTCCCGTTCAGGACGTCTGGAGTGGGCCGACATTCTGCCTTTCTAACACAAGTTGTTGGGGGTGCTGAGCTGCTGGCTGGGAGTGACCACAATTTAAGGACAGCCACGCGTCACTTAACGTCCACAATTACGTTCTGAGAAACAGGACGTTATGTGATTGGGATGTTGTGAGAACATACCTAAATCATACGCAATGCATTCACTGATTTTCTGCATTCATGCTGTTGAATAAACTTTTGTTTATTCAAACTTCCAATTTGACACTTCTCCTTTGCCTCTTGCAGCTGCTATCACTGGTACTGGTTTTGCAGTGTGTGGGAACCAGGATGCACTTCACAGTAATATTTTCGAAAGAAAATTAAACAGAGAGGTAATGCTACAGCACTTGAGATGTGCAAGTCATGCGACTGGATGCTGCTCCCTACGAGCTGAAGTGTATGTACACTGTTACATGGTAAACTTTTTATTTTTAAGTAGGGAAAGTTCACATTAAAATAAAAGAAAGTTAGGTACAGTACGATACATAAGCCAGTAACATAGGCATTTATCGTGACTCTCAAGACACACGTATTGTAGGTTATATATTTCCATACCGTTCTACGCCTGGCAGCACAATTGCTCTGTGTACAACAGACATGAGATACATATGTTTTGTGCAGGAAGTTTTTGGGTTTGCTACATCCAGTTCGATCTGATATATCCCATTCTCTAATCGGGATTTCTGAACTCTATTCTAACTTTGGGAGCTCTGGTGGCATAGTGCCTAAGGTATTTGACACCTAACCAGAAGGCTGGCGGTTCAAACCCACCAGCCGCTCCTCAGAAGGAAGACTGGGCAATCTACTTCTGTAGTGATATTGCCTCAGAAACCCAAGGAGGCATGACTATGAGTCGGATCTGACTTGATGGTAGTGAATTTGAGTTTATTATAATTTTATGGGACCATGGACATACATGCAGTTGGATATTGCCCAAACGGGTATTCTACAGTGCATGACTGTGGTAAAACGCTATAATCCATCCATCCCCTAACGCTGCTTTCTACTTCCATGCCCCCACAGTTTTGGACATGCAGTTCCTTCTACATGGAATGTCCTCTTCCCACACCTTTTTATGCCTTTTGAACTTAAACGCAACTTGAAAAGCCTGAATTTCCATAAAGTCATCCTGAAATCTCTCAGAAGCCTAGTCAATTTCTTCCCTAGGACCACTATCACTTAGTACACACATTTCTGTAATAGCACAAATGATATTCTAATTGTATTTTGAGATGTTGGTTACCTCCAGCAGACACACTTCCACAAAGGCACGGTGAGTACTGCCACCACAGAACACAGCTCTCAGCAAATGTTCTCGGAACAAATGAATGACACATTCCAACTTGTTCAGACTTTAGCTGAACCGTTAAATAAGAACAGAGATCAGAGTCTCCTTGTGCTATGGAGGTAGCAAGAGAAGAGGCAGGGGCAGCAGTGGCTATGGCCTGGTGTACCCCACTCCCACCTGGCCACCCAGAGCCCCACTCACCTGGAGGAGTGGGCTCTCCTGGGGAGGTAGGCTGACCTGGAAGATTAGGCTTACCTGGCTGTATGGGCTTACCTTCAGGTGTGGGTCACCTGGGGAGGTGGCCACACCTGGGAGTGGGCTCACCTGAAGGGGTGTGGGCTCACCTGGCGGGGTGGGCTTTTGACTTAACACTTGACTTAACATCCTGTGCCTAGCTATGTCATAGCATTTTTGCTGCTGTGACACAGCTGGGTATAGGATGTTAAGTCAGATGTTAACTCACCTGGGGAGGCGGGCTCACCTGGAGGAGTAGGTTCTGCAGTGGCGTTAGGCTTCTTCTTGCACACGTAGGGCAGCGCGATGCTGCAGTCACGGTTCTGCCAGCCACCTGAGGACTCAGTGCGGATCACCCCACAGTTCTCATCACTTGGGTTGTCTGGCTGGTCTGTGGGGAGGGCAGGGTACCAGCACCCCAGAAGAGACGCTCACCTCTTGGCCCTGTGAGCCTTTCCCAGAATTCCCATTGCCTCCTTTTCCTCAGAGCCTAAGCCAGTCAGAGATGCCCAGCCCTCTGTTGCGGCCCTCCCTTGCTGGGCACCACAGAGCCCTTCCCTGCTGTCTAACCTGGGCCCCTATCGTCCTGAACCCTCCACCCAGCAGCCAGGCCAGTACCAGCCCTGCCTCCCTGGCCAGGCTGCTGGGTCCACTGGGGCTTGCTGCACAAACATGTCCACTTCCAGGATGAGTAGAGGCTGAAATCCAGCCCACTCATCAAGCCCTGTGCCTGGGGGCAGAACCGTGTCTGCCTGGAAGATGGGTCAGTTTCTAATTCATACAAAGGCACTGCATGGGCTAGTCAGGCCCAGGCCGGGGTGGGTCAGTATCAGAACACCCCCCCACACACACAACGCTGCTCCCATAGAGGTGTCTTCCCAGTCCCCAGCACCCTGCACCCCAACTCCTGCGCCTCACCGCTCTCCCAGTTGAGGTACTTGAGGGGCGAGTTGTCGGACCACTGCCAGCCACCACTGGTGTCCAGGTCATTGAGGCCAATCCAGAGTGTGGAGCTATAACCCGTGAGAAGCCCTGACAGCAAAGGGGGACGGTGAGAAGGGGCAGCACCTCAGCCTTCCCACCCACTCCAACTTGCCCTGTCCCCACCATCAGCATCCTGACTCCCATAAGCCGAAGGGGCTCAGGACCCTCCAAAGGCGGCCACAGAGGTCTCAGGTTCCTGCTGCCTTGCCTTGCCCCCAGGGTTGGGGCTCCGGGAGGCTGCCTGCTGCTCACCATTGATGTAAGTCTGCTCGTGGATCTCCGTGATACTCAGCAGGTCCGCCCCCTGCTGCTCGCAGCTGGCCCAGGCCTCCCTCCACGACAGCGTGGACTGGAAGTTAAACTGGTAACAGCTGTCAGTCAGCTGGTCCTTGTCCCAAAAGGTCTCGCAGTCATTACCTGACACCAAGATAGCCGGACATGGGTCCCTCCCCAGCCCCCTTCTTCGGGGCCCACCTGGGGGTCCCTCAGGGAGCGCGGAGACCCACACCAGCAGCTCCATGGTGGGAGCGGGAGCCGGTTCTCATCCTGGTCTCGAAAGTTCTGCCACCCACGCTGACTCCGTCCCCAGGTCCTGGCCCCCAGGCCCTCTCAGTACAAGCCTCCCTCCACGAACCTCCCTGCCTTGCCCACCAGCCCTGCTCTCACTCTTAATTGGGCAGAAGCCCCAGCGCTCCTCCTTGCCGTAGTCCTGCGTGGTGGCGCACCACAGGTGGCCATCCTCGCGGCCTGTGCTGGTGCAGTCGTGGAACCACTGGTTGTCGTACTTGAAGGGGATGGTACATGGCTTCCCGTGGGAGTTCCCCTGGATGGTGTAGATCTCTGCAGGGAAGGGGAGCCACGCCCTTGGCATCTGGACCCCAGAGGCTGCCCACCCCTTTGCCCCTCAGGAAAAAGCCCCTGTAACCTAGGGAGCAAGGGGTAGGCAGCGGTCAAGAGAGGAAGGAAAGGGTCAATGGCGGACAGTAGCTTCATGGCTCCCTCAGCCCCTAGGTCAGGCCAGCAGCACAGAAGGGGGTCCATCCTCATCCCATAGGGCTAAGAAGGGGCTCTCCCAATGCCTGGTGGCACTTTATTATGTCTGAAGTCCAGCTGGGCTAAAGGGTCTCCAAATCTCCCACAGAGGGGCTGAGGCCAACAGGAGCCCTGCTCAGCACCCCAGCCCAGGAGCTCCACCCCCTCCATGCCTGCGTACCCCTCCTCCCAAAGTCTGATCCTAGATCTCAAGGTGGTTTCCAGACAGGACCGCAGATGAAGGCTGCCCACCACAGGGGGGCTCTTACTGGGAACTCTGATCCCCATCCACCCACAAAATGGGATGAGGACATACCCTGGGGTCTCCTCTGGAGAGTGGTCCTGGGAAAAGGGAACTTTCATTTAATTTTACTCTATACACTTTTGAACTGTTTGAAGTCTTTACAAATGTACATTAATTTTTCAATTAAAGTATACTTTGAAGTTAATTTTCTTAATTATTCAGGAACACTTCCTGTTAGAATTAAAAATGTGATTTCCAAGAATCTTTAAGGGGTCAAAGCCTCCATTTCCCCAGAGCCTGTCCTTCCATGGCTTCAGTTCCGGCCACTCTGGTCCCCGGGGCACCATCCCTCTCCTGCAAGCAGCCCCTCACCATAGTAGGGCCGAGCACACAGATCCTCGTCACTGCCATAGATGTGCCACTGGCCGCTGCGGGTCTGGTCGCCTCGCTCAGGGGTGCCAGTCTTGGAGGTGTTGGTGGCACGGCCTCCCAGGAGCAAGGACAGCTGGTCACCCAGTGTGCGACAGTGCCAGCGAAGGTTCAGCGCCTCCCGGTCACACTCGTACATGCCCAGGGAGGCTGTGGTGTTGGTGCCTGGCCAGCCTGTGCCCAGACACTGCATGGCACCCAGGTTGAAGAGGCGGTTTCGGGAGACCCACTTCCAGCGCTGGGCAGGAAGACTGGCATTACAGGCTGGGGTGACTCTGACCTGCCCACCCTGGGCCTCTAGGCAACCCTGCAGTCCATGGCTGAAGATGAGGAAGACGTTGGGTTCTGGAAGAGAAGGCAGGATGGGTGTGAGAACCCACAGGGGTTCTCCTGGCTGGCCTTTGACAGCTGGTGCTGCCTACAGACAATGCCCGGTGCTGAGCTGCAAGCCTTCTCTCATGTGTCACATTGCTCCATCCTTTGGGGTGGCACAGAGGGCACTGCTACTCCCATGCACCTAGATAAGGTGATGCTTGCATGGTCAGCCTCTGTTCTAGCCTCATACCTACCTGGAGGTAGGACTCAGCCCTCTGTCCCATCCCTAAAAGCAAACCCAACTCCTTTTGGCAAAAAGTACAATATACTTTTCTGAAGATTTTAGCAGGAACAATGGGGGGCACTTACATCGCATTACATCACAACCTTAATCACAGTGTCTTGGTTCTTCTGAATAAGTCATTTTGTCTCTTATCTTTCAGCTACCCAAGATCCATTCCTTTCCTCCCTCTAGAATCCTATCAAACTGTTCAGCCTCCTGTACCCAACCATTCATGCCCTAAACCAATTCCATTCAATTTTCAGATTGAGCCTTTGAGCTCTTTGGTGGGCTAGGGCATGGTTGGCAGGAATGGGTATGACTGCTAAAAAGATATGAGGGTACTTCTAGGGGTGATGGAATGTTCTAAAATTAGACTGTCTTGACGGGTGCCCTCTGAATATACTCAAAGCTACTCAATTCTATACTTTACATGGGTGAATTCATGATATGTGAATTATCTCTGAATCAAGTTGTTAAAAAAAAAAAAAAAGAAGGAAACTGAGGCTTAGAGACTGGAGTCACAGGAGTGATCACACAGCCAGGTTAACTCCTTCCAAAGTCTGTGCTTTCAACATCCGTGTTCCACCATCTTTCTGTTGTTCCCTGGCCACCACTAAGTCTACACATGTGCACAGCACATTCCAAAGCACTTCTATATCCATCAGCCACTGGCTCCTCAGGATCAATGTCACTATTATCTTATTACTACTATTTCATGTTAAAGTAAAGAAACTGATCCAGGGCAGTGAAGCAATGTGACTGGGGTCATAAGGCCAGTAAAGCATACAGCTGAAACTTGGCCCCAGTCTCCTGAGTCTGCAGCCCAAGCTCTTCCTGTTCCACCATGCTGGCCGTAGCATCTCTAGGTAACCTATTCTCCATGGGCACTCAGAAGGATCTTTTTTATTTTTGGTTTGGTTGAAAGTTTACAGTGAAAATTCACTTTCCATACAGCAGTTCACACACACGTTGTCTTGTGACATTGACTACAATTTACTCCAACGCAATGCTCCCCTCCCACTTCCTCCCGATAGTTGCCTCTTCTCTGTGTCCATCCCTCCATGTACTCCTGCCCCCTGAGCTGTCTCCCCATGCATAAACAGTCCTTCTTTCTCCCATGATTGTTCTCTCCAAGGAAAGTCTCTAACTTAGGTAAATGTTCAACTCATATGCCTGTCTTTTGTTTGGCTGGAAGCCACAGGTGTGGGTTCAATTCCAGACCTGAAGGGCAGCTAGTGGCCATAGTCTCAGTGGTTCCACCAGGCTCTTTCAGAGCAGCAAACCCGGTCCCCCCTTTTTTTCCGAATGATTTTTGGGGTTTTTTTTTTTTTTTTTCACCAGGCTCTTTCAGAGCAGCAAACCCGGTCCCCCCTTTTTTTCTCCAAATGATTTTGCGTTTTGTTCTGCATTGTTCTCCCTCTCTATCCAGGATCTCCTACACAGATCCCCCTCTGAGTGGTTGACAGTGATAGCCGGGCACTATCTAGTTCTGGTCTCATGGTCATATAGGCTGAGGATTGCATGGTGTACCAGTTGCAAGGACTAATTGTTTCCGTGAATCTTTGGTTTTCTTCATTCTTCTTTGCTCTGGACAAGGAGAGACCCATCGCTGCATCTAGATGGCAGCTTGCAAACTTCTAAGATCCTAGTTGCTACTCGCCAAAGTAGGAGGTAGAACAACGTTTTGTGTAATATGTTATGCCCATTGAGCTTGATGTTCCCTGTGACTATGGTCTCGAGCCCACAGGTTCAACTACTCACTCCCTCTGGGTAGCTGGCTGTGACCAAGAAGTGACTACAACCTTGTCCCTTGTCAGCTCTATTATACCCCTGGGAATTCTTACAGAACAAACACACTTGTAGAACCACTCTCTGCCAACCCTACACAAGGCCTTGGGTACATTTCCTGCCATATAGACATATCTAACAGTTCAGCCTGTCTACCCATCTATCCACCTGTATACCCGTGTCTGCCTTCACTGACAACTCAGTACTATATGTGCAAAAGGTTTCATCTTTGTTGTGTGTACCTCCCATGTACCTCTCTATGTCTTCCTCTTCCTCAGTGCCACCAAGTTGATCACTCACATTTGGTACATTGCCCTTCTCTTCACCCAAATCAATACTTATCTCCACCTATCTAACAGTGTTCCCTCCCCTCCAAAAAAAGAATGCCATAAACAATGTTCCATGGACTGTCAGAAGAGCGAACAATTCTGTCTTGGACGAAGTACCACCAGAATGCACCTCAGAAGCCAGGATGGTGAGACATTGTGTCATGTACTTTGGATGTGTTACCAAGAGGGATCAGTCCTTGGAGAAGGACATCACGCTTGGTGAAGAAGAGGGTCAGCGAAAGAGAGGAAGACCCCCGAGACGGATCGACATGGTGGCCACTGCAACAATGGGCTCAAGCAGAGTGGTGACTGTGGAAATGGCACAGGACGGGGCAACGTTTCGTTCTGCTGTACACAGGGTCGCTATGAGCCAGAACTGACTCCACGGCTCCTAACAGCAACACAGGAAGATTGTAAGGAATGTGTAAGGGCTACCGAAGCTGAGAAAGACAAGGACCTTCCCCTAAAACCCAGGCCCTGAATTCAGGTTTCTAGCCTCCCAAACTGTGAGAAAATAAATTTCTGTTCCTAAAAAAAAAGAATGCCATAAATAGTAAAAACATATATACGTAGTTTATTAGAAACAGATAATTCCATAATATAAAAAAACCTTCTATCGCTAAGAAATAAATTATAAGGAAAATATCAACAACTCTGTAAGAAAAAAGTAAATGCTAATATGTATAACTAGTTTAAAAAATGAAATGTAATTGGCTCTTAAGTACTTGAGATGACAATCAGCCTCACTAATAGTACAAGACCACACATGTAAGTCAGGTAAGTCTCTTTTCTGCTTAAAATCCTTCAAAGGTGATTCATCATACTTTGAATAGAACTCAAACTCCTTACCATGACATCAAACCAAAAAACCAAACTCACTGCCATTAAGTTGTTTCTGACTCATAGCAACCCTTAATGGGTTTCCAAGGCTGTAAATCTTTACGGAAGTAGATTGCCTCATCTTCCTTCCACAAAGCAGCTGGTGGGTTTGAAC